TCTCTGTGTGGAGTGAGAGGACAAGTGCCCAAAAATAATAACAATTGTAAACCGCTTTGTGACTCTGGTCTGTGAAAGGCGGTATATAAATAAAGATTACTTACTTACTTACTTACTTGCTGCCAGTGAAGACTCCTGCATCTAAAATGAATTAAATAAAACAGTCACATTTTTCATTTTGGCATTGGAATAAATGAAAATGTTGTGTCCTACTCATTTCATTGGCCTGTCTTATTAGCACTAATACGTCTTAATCATGTCATAAATGTAACAACCAAACCTGGAGCAAGTTTTATATAAAAGGCTAAAAAAGCGGGATGGAGGTTTTTTTTACAGTATTACTCATTTGGAAGTTTTTTGGTTTCAGTGTTGTGAAGAATATTTAGAAAACATTATTTAGTCACAGATCATACATTTTCCGTTGCATGGTCTAACCAGAGTACTGCATTCTGAATACTTTCACTCTTATTTGAATAATATAATGTAAAAATACAGCAGAGGAGCAAAACAACTTTTTTGTTATTTATACAATATATGTTTAAACAAACACTCACTTATAGTTTGCATTCAAGTGACATAACAATATTCCAAAGATCTTAGTTGAACATTGTGGTGGAGGGCAATATGGAAACTGGGGTCAAAGAAGCAGATATCTAATCTTAGAATATAATGAATCTCTCTAGAATCCTTGAGCCAATCCACATAAAAAATAGTGAGAGCTTTGTTATATTTTACTTTCAAACTGTGGGACGAATACTGTGGGACGAATACTGTGGGACGAGGATCTCTCAATAAGATAAGATAAGATAATCTTACATTTCTCTTGCATACTGTTGCTTTAATAATCAGATTTATTTGTTTATTTGTTTTTTTTCTTATCACTGTCTAAATTACCCCTTCATTTGATCGGAGTGTTCCCACTGACCACGGCTCTGAAAAAGAGTTTGTCGCAAGGCGGGTTCAATGTGGAGTCGTTTTGACACTTCAGCCTTTCTCACACACTTTCTTGCTCTGTGTGTAAGAAAGATGCACCTTTAGTCAAAATCCCTGTGTTTTTGGGCAGAAGGAAAGAGGCTACATTCAATTTAAAGCTGATGTACCCAACTTTTTGTCTGTCTTTTTGTATTTTAAACATATTTTGTGTATGCTTTTCCCCCCCCACCTCTTTAGTTTATTATTAGTATCTTTGCTATTTTTATTGTTATTATTATTAGGCCCAAGCCCCGAACGGGGAAAGGGCCTATTGTTTTTGCTTGAGAGATGTCAAATTTGACATTTGAGAGATGTCAAATTTTGACATCTCTGCGGTGCGGAACGGCGCGCGGTGCAGGGAGTCGCGCGGTGTGGCGAGGGCCGTTCAACGCCGTAATAATGAATTTTTTCATTAATTTTTTTAACAATATATTATTATTATTATATATACATTATATTTAATGTGTTTCTAATTCATTTTTTATTGTTATTATTATGTTTATGTAATTTTTTCCTTTGCATTATAATTGTAAAGTATATATATATATATATATATATATATATATATATATATATATATATATATATATATATATATATATATATATATATATATAATAAAAACATGTGTTACTTACTTGAGCCCTGTGAGTCACTTTTTGCCGTTTTGGGCTCAGCAAGGGTTGAAGTGAGGCTGTAAATGCTGGCTTCTCAGACAGACAGACACAATGGCTTGATTGATTGTTGAAAGCAGTTTAATATCACTGTCCTTTCCCAAAGACGGCGGTGATGCGTTCTTGGATCTTTCTGTCAGACTGAACATGCTTTGAGCTCAGAGGAAGAAACTCGAGACAAAGACGGCTTCAAATCAGACATCTGCAGAGATAGATTTTCAAGATTGAGGCAAAAAATATCTTAAAGAAGCTTTTCATTCATGCTTTCAATTTTCATATCGTTCCCACTGGTTTTGCCACAGACTTTTTAGATATCCAATAACCTTTTGCTCCTACTTGGTTTTGCCAAAGTGGTCCAAAACATAATCTTTCCTGCTTTGGCGACACATTTCCTATGATTTCATGTTACAAACTGTGAGCGTGAACTAACATGAAACTGATTAATCATTTTTAACTGTTTATACACGAATAGATCGTTGCTGTGTTATAAGGAGAGAGTTTTACTGAGTCTTGGGCCTTGAGGACAGAGGATAGATAGATAGATAGATAGATAGATAGATAGATAGATAGATAGATAGATAGATAGATAGATAGATAGATAGATAGATAGATAGATAGATAGATAGATAGATACTTTATTGATCCCCGTTGGAGACATTCAGGTGTCCAGTAGCAGCAAAAATAAAATTGATAATTAAAAAAAGCTAACAATAGCAATAATCGGCAACAGCCCTTCCGGTCACAGCAGCAGAGGTGGAGCAAGACGGGTCACAAGGTCCAAAGTAAAATGCTGAATGGTTCATTAGCATTTTTCAAAAAGTTAGCATTCCTCCATTGGATTTTGATCTGATCCACTTGGTTCGGACCATAAATCCTCTCTGCTCTGGTCTGGGCCAGTGTAAAACCATGAACACTGTACTGCAGCAACAGCTCAGGTAGAAAAAAGCAAGAAAAATAAAAATTCCATCCATCCATCCGTAAGACACTTAACCCCACTTTGCCCAAAGCCCCCACTGAAAGATCAAGGCTATGCTCACACTCAGAGAGCAGCCGTCCTCCTGTGGACTCACCACCTGCAGAGGGTCAGTGAGGGGCTGGTGCTATGAGACTTGGGTGGCATCTCTGACTGCCACCCCCCTGACCCAGAAATGGATTAAAGGGTAGAAAATGGATGGATGGATGGCATCCGTAAAGCACAAAACAACAACTTTTTCAGAGCTTGCAGCTGTTTTCCAGCACATTCAAAAGTGAATAAATAGATGTACTGATAATGATAATAATACAAATAAAAATAAAACATCATTATTAGATGTGCTTTTTTGGACACTCAAAACAAAACACAAAACAAAAGATCCAATTAGAAAGCAGATAAAAAGCCAACATACTCTTAAGTGTAGGCAGTTTTGAACAGGTGGGGTTTGAGCTGTGATTTATGTATTTATTGTTTATTTTTGGCAGATGTTAATGAACACACCTCTCTGGATTGTAGCGTTGAGGTCATTTGCATCCGTCGTCTCACATTCACACACTCACAAACACACAGTCATTCACCATGAACTATTGTACATGTTTTTAGTGGCGGGGGAAACCAGAGCACCCGGAGGAAACCTACACAGACACAGGGAGAACATGCAAACTCCACACAGAAAGACCTGGAGGTGGAATTGATCCCAGGACCTTGTTGCTGTGATGCACAAGCTGGCACGGTGGCTGAGTGGATAGCACTCTCTCTTATCAGCAAGAAGGTCCTGGGTTCAAATCCCGGTCGGAACAGGGCCTTTCTGAGTGGAGTTTGCATGTTCTCCCCGTGTCTTTGTAGGTTTCCTCTGGGTTCTCCGGTTTCCCCTACCACTAAAAACATGTACAATAGGCCTGGCATGTGCCTCCTGTACTGGCGACCCCGTTCTGTGTGGAGAGAGAGGACAATTGCCCAAAAAATAACCATTGTAAACCGCTTTGTGACTCTGGTCTTGTCTTCCATAAATGTCCTTAAATGTCCTGGATCACCACTATCCTGCCACATAATATTATAATTTGATTGTATTAGCAGAATTATTTGATTGTATTAGCAGAAGAATGTCTTGGGAAAAAGGACATTTGCCTTTAGATTTCACCTAAGAAGACAGCTTCTGATTCTGAAGTTAAAAAAGTAGCTGGTTCTTGCGTGTAACCTCATCCTGCTGAGAAAAAGGGGTGCGTCTGGTGGACAGCAGAGTCTTAAGGGGCCCACACTGACAAACAGAGCAGTCCTTATCAGCCCATCACAGATCCACATCTACGGCTGCAGCTTCAGACAATAGAGTCGGACAGGTCAAATAGTTCACCTGATCACCCATTATATTTAAACAAGGAAATAACCCTGTCCATCCATAGCTTTGAAATGATGAAAATGTACTATTACTACCATTACTATAACATATTAGGACTGAATATTGTATAAATTGTCAGTCCCACAAGGATGCCACTCTATTGGGAGATATACCTTGAATTTCTGTTTTTCCCAACACAGAGAATCAACATGTATTTGTCCCACAGTGGGGAAATTTCAATGTCATTGTTCCGCACATTTCAGATGAATAAAAAGTAGGAAAATAAGAGCACTCAGATCGCACACATCAAACAGGATCTATCATATAAGATAATAGATAATACAATTTGAATAATAAGTCATTAGATTATAAAATAGAATAAAATAAAACTCTGGCGCTTTGGTCCAGAGGTATTTACAGATGAGTATAATGAGAAAATGACCAGAATATACAATAGCAATAATAGCAGCTGGTAATGTGACTAGTGAATTAATATCAGAACAAGTGAGTGGCATATGTACAGACTCAGTAGTTCTCGTTGTACAGTCTGAGTCACAATTTGACTCTTTGGAGTGAGAGCTGATTGGTTGAGTGAGCCTCTTCTTCATCACTTTTCTGTCTGAAAAAGCTGATCTAAAGATGAGACAGTGGCCAAAAAATACATGTATTTGAAAAGTAGTGATAGAGCCTGAAACTGGGTACAAGAATTTTATTACATCGTCCGGTCGTTGTGGTTTGAAAGTTACATACCCGAGCTTTAACTTGATCCAAACTGCAGCAAATTTTCCCCTGATTAGTCGCAGTGCACTGAACTGAACATATGTCATTTATAAACTTCGATGAAAGAATTAGATCTTTCCTAGTGCCAACCGCAGACATATTTCAGCACCACTACAGTAGATTAAAAAAACAAATCCTCTCGCGCTCGCTCATATAATGCCAAATAACGCATTACCTGCATGGAAATTTTTTTTTATTTTATTACAGTGTCAAATTTGACATCTGGCAGTGTGGTGCAGTGGAGCTTGAATGCGGTGTGTTTGGGATGTGGGGTTTCCCGCTGGAGCAGGGCCTCGTGCAGGGACAAGCCACCAACAGAAGCTCTGGTAAAAAGGAGGAAATTACAGTCTTCTGCTGCCAAAAGCTGCAGCCACGAGCTCCATGCTGCTTCATGGGGGTCTGGGTGGGTCTGGGGGATAGAGGAGAAGCATAGAGGGGCAAGGGGGCTTTGTAAAGATGGTTTACATGTTGTATTAAAATGTCAACATGGAATATCCTATCTCTGAATTAAATCAACAAGATATCAAGTTCACAGTATTTTTCTGCTGGCTCCAGTGCATTTGATCAGAGGGACTTATGTTATATGTTTACTGTATTACCCAGGACATTTAATTACATTTTTAGACCTCCGAGAGCAGTCAATTTGACATATTTTTGTTTTGGAAGTTTAATTGTTTGTACAACTTTGTGACTTTTTCTGTTTCTATATATAGTTTACCTCTATGTCATTATGTTTGACTTACTTCCTTAAGACGATAAAGCTAGAGATTTTACACTTGCTTCTTCATTATGCTATTTTAGTATAAAGTTATTGTTAATTTATCTTGTGTTGCATGCTCCTCATCCCTACTGTTCTGCACTGAGTTGCACTGTGGCACAAATAAAGGATATCTTAGTTCCACCCAGACACATGGAGAGATAGTTTGCTTATTCAGCTCCACACAAAAACTAAATCAAAAACGTAATCAAAAACCTAAAATCCTCCACAAAGTTGGTTGTAAACACATTTGCCGACGTAAATACATATGTGATATGTGGATCAACTCACCCTGCGATGGTAAGAGATGGTAAGGCCCCCGTAGGTACACTTTGCCTGGTGCCCCCTGTTGGCCTGAGCTGGCACTGCTTTGGACCCATTGTGTTGGGGATAAAGTTTGTGGTCGTAGTCTGCAGCTTGTGTGTGACAAGACTCTGCTCTTTGAGATAAAGTCTTCTCACGTCACATACACGATACACTCACACTGATAACCGTGTCTCACTCTGTTTATTTTTGTTAGAGGTGGGGTTTTCTGTCGGTGCATGTTTGCTCTCGCCATGCAGGCTCTCCACAGGCCCTCAACTTGTAACGTTTTAGAAACAGTTGTAGATATGACAAAGTACTCGTGCAATGCAAATACTCTGTTGTCCTTATTACAACATCTATATTGCATTCTTTGGGAAATGTATCTATTCAACATCAACACAGTTACAATAATCCAATTATAAGTGCGTATTTTAAAGAAGAAATATTACGCATTCTTTTTGGCAACTCAAAATGATATCAAGACTATTTCCTTTGTCGTTTCATGTTTTTGAATGTGAAATAATACCATCAGTATAGAATATATGTTGAAACAATTATGAACTATGGCAAATAACAATATCAGCTTGCCATATCAATACCAGCAGAGGGAGGTGTAGAGGGCGTAGGGTCTATGCTTGGGTTTCATATGGCGTCAGGGCAGCGCCAATAACAAACGTGGGACAGGACGTGACGTATCCTGGTGGTGCTGTCTGCCCGGTTTATACACAGAGGTATAGTAGAAGAAGAAGTGCAGTCAAAATGCCATCTTTTTGTGCGGTGTACGCTTGTAACAACCGCGCAAATAGACAAAAAGACAAGATTTTCTTCCGTGTTCCAACCGTGGTCTCAAATAATGGAGGACACTTTGAAAAAAATCACTCGAATGAGGCGGGCGAGGTGGATCAAGGCTTTCCCAGATAAGCGCCCCCTGCAGGCCACCCCAATGAAACGCAGCAATTTATTCTGTTTTTTCTTTTTTTTTTTTAAATGCCCGAAAATCAAGAGTCTTTTGAAAAATATTTGTTAGTACTCCCTTAGAATTGAGTGTCCCCGATTAAGACTGTTACAACAACCGTACAGCGCACAGGAGGAGAGCCTTTTGACTCCAAAATAGACACGATTTACATGGTTTTCAATGGGAGCAAAACTGAGTTGTCCCACCTCTGCTCATTCGCCCCCTCAAGGCCAGTTTAATGAAACCCATGAATTGTTTTCTGATTATTATTATTTTTTTTCAAATTTGAAAATACCTGGCTGCGAACACAGTCATGTGATTACAAAGAACTTAATTGCACTTGAGAAATTGCCAAAACCACTTCAGGAGCAACACTTTTGAAAAGATGGAAAACTGCTGTCCCATAGTCATTCAATGACATCAAACTGCTACAGGACTTAAGAGGGGAGCTTTTCCACACAAGGGGCGGAGGTAGATGTTTGTGCCAGAAGTTCCTGATTATAGTAGTGTAGCTGGATCCAATGTTGTAACGAGTTAAAAATCTCCAAAAAGTTGATTTTGCATGATACGTCTCTGTGAGCTTTATCTGTGAGGTGTTGCGTGCCATGCCACATCCCCCTTACGTCTTTAATCTTCTTTGTACATTCTTAAAACCCGTCTATGATGAATAAAGACTTATCTGCTTCTCCTTCTTCTTCTTTTTCTTCTTCTTCTCTGGCTCTGGCCCTGGGAGCACAGACCACCAACTAGCAGCGGAGAAGATGAGAGAGACCAAAGAGAGCCGGGCTGGTGGTGCGTTGTCTGGGCATCTCGATCGGCCTGATGGAGTGTCGCGATAGAGACATGAAAGTGCACTGTCATCAACTTTTTTCTTTTGCCCCTATTCCCCATGGAGATAATATGACTTGGTTTAAACAATCAAAAGAAATTTCTCTTGTCTCTTGTCGTAGCATCTTCAAATTTTGTGGATCTTCTTTGGGAGCTTTGACACATTGAGCTCAAAATTATTATTATTGTCAGAGGCAGACCCACCGTGAAAGAATATTCAGTGCAGCTTTAAAGAAGGAATATTATGCATTCTGTTTGGCCATTTAAAATTGTAATGAGACAATTTACTTTGCCATTGCATGTTTTAAAATGTGAAATAATATCTTCAGTAGAAAATATATGGCGAAACGTATGAAGGGTAAAACAATAGTTTGGCCTGTAACTCCCTATGCCACCACCAGAGGGAGGAGTTGAAGTTTTGTGTTTCCAATTTTGAAATAAGTTGGCTGCAAACACAATGTGATTGAAAAAAAAGTAATCTCACCTGAAACATTTCCAAAACTAATTCATGAGGAATACTTTTGAAAGCTCTGTGATGTCATAGTGGTATTATGACTTAATACTATCCCACTTTTATAAAACAGATTAAAGTTTTAAACACATTTTACTGTTCCACTTTGTCTTTGTTTTGTCTGGTTGTCTGTCTGCTTTATTCTGCGGTATTTCATTTTAATCCAACTGTTTTATTGACTGTTTTGAACTGTTTTATGGTAACACTGTAAATGTCTGAACACTTTAGAAGTGCTATACAAACAAATATTTAATATAAATATTATTATTATTTTTATTTTTTAGCTATTAGACAGAAGGGACGGAGTTACATGTTTGTGCTCGAAATTATAATATTATAATGGATGGATCTAAAATCACCTCCAGGTCTGTTTGTTGAATGTTCAAAAGTTGATTTAAAAAGCTGGAAAAGCCATGTTCCAGCTTCTTCCTTCGTTCGCTAAGATGCTAGACACCTTGATTTGCTGACACCTTTTTTCCACAAGCTGTGATCAGTTTGAACAAAGCACTGTAGCGATCTTGCACTTGTTATTGGAACTATTTTTGTTGATGGATTTCACACTGATTATAATTTGTGATTTTTTTTTGACTTGTCTGTATTTGTTTCAATGTGAATTTACTGCAAATCGCAAAGAAACCAAAACTGAATATTAATCTTTGTACATCGCAGTACGTCTCCTTTAAACCGGTGATACTTGAGCTACACATCATTCTTTGTCTTCAAAATTCTTCCCAAGTAAAAACCTAATTCATAACGAGTAACTTTAGTCAAGTCTGGACCAAATCGCTCTCTCTCTCTCTTCACTGACAGCTGCTTGTTGACATTGAAGCTTCAGTCCTGTGTGTAAAGTCTGTTGTTCTTCCCATATTTAGACGTCAATGCTCCTTTGATTCCACGCTGCACATATCTGGGTCAGACCAAAGGAACGAGGAGGTCTCTTTAAAAATAAACATTAACCTCAAGGTGTATTGCTGCCAATTGTAAAATGTGCCTCAGTGACAACATAAACCTGCCTCCAGGGCTGGATTGAGCGACTATTGTGGTCCGTACGCAGGTGAGCGAGTGGGAGAAGGGCGGCTTTCACCTCCTGACTGCAGCTGACAGAAGAAACTAGCGACTGCATCGTCTTGAGGAAAGAGGCCTCTGCAGGTTTGTCTGTGCTGGAACTTTGTTCTGAGGACGGACTCTATATTATTGTTCTAAAATGCATGTTACAAATATAAACGTGACACTGGTTTTTTATGTTCCATATTTAACCCTTTAATAGTTTCCTCAACCATTTGGTGGATCGATTTTTGAGGAACTAGATCTACTTGAAGCATGGAACTGAAATCTACCTCTTTGGGGGAATCTCACTTGATTTTAGGCACAAACTGCAGCTCAACCATTTGGTAGAGGCCTATAATTAAACAAACTCATGGTTAAAAAACAAACCAAACAAGAAAATAAATAATTTTCTATGATGCAGTATCTTCCATCATAGAAAATACATTGCTTTCTTCAAGGAGTTAACGTTGACTTTACAAGGTTAAGATGGACATTATTTCCTGCCCTATATGTCTATAACTTTTCAATACATATAGATAGAGGTATATCGATGCATGGATATTGAAGAATTTATATATTTGTTTAATATGTGTTATCGCATGTATATTTTGTGTGCTTACTACTGTCCCGTATGTGCGCTGCAATATTGAAATTTCCCCACTAGCTGTGGGAAGAATCAAAGATCTCTTTTCTTATCTTATTTAGACTATTTATTTAAAACCTGCACATATCTTTGTAAACATCAATTAAACAGACAAAAAACAAGTACATGGTTCGCAAAGGGGTTGGATGAAGCAACCCCTTATCTGATTTTTCATCATTTTAAAGAATATATTGGTTTAGCAAAAAATATATTTATTTAAAATAATTGGTGTTTTCTAATCTTTGAGACTGCACCACATGTCACCGTCCCCTGAATCTGAGGATCACATATCTGCTGCATGTATTAGTTATTTGAAATGAATACTGTGTAAACAAAGAGACTTTCATAACTCCTTCTATAGATACTTTAGAGCAGGGGTGTCCAAATTTTGTACAAGGGCCACGTTAGTTCACCAGACTTCTCATTGGGCCGACATCACGGACTGAAAAACTTTGTTGGCTGTCATCGATCTGTTTTTACTCTCTCACCCGCTCACAAGTCATCAACTGCATTCCAGACGTACTGGGCTTTCAAAGGAGTAATGACATGTCTGTATTGGCTGATCTGAAGTTGGATGGATGACACAGTGAACTTGTGTTAGCAAGGCAGAGGGCCACATAAAGTTACACTGAGGGCCGCAATTGGCCCCTGGGCCTGAGTTTGGACATGCCTATTTTAGAGTCACTGCTGTGATGAGAGAGTGCTAACCACACAATACAGAAAATACAAGTACACTGCAAAAAATGTTTACATATGAGGTAATAATTGCTTGAATGGAGTGATTTTGATCTTAATCTGAGTAAATTATGACTGTTTTAATTTCAAGTATTTCTTCTTACTTCGAGATCTGTTGCTATATTTCCAATCCACTAGAGACATGAGCATATCTTGTTTTAAGGCAGTCAAAATGTGCTCAAATTACAATACAGTTTGCCAAAATAGAGCAATTTTTGACTGATTTTTTTATCACTTTCTGCAGTGTACAAATTTGTAATCATAAAATACAGTGATGCCTTCTGACCTGGTGCCATTAAACAGACCTCTACTTAAAGTCCATCAAAGAAATGATATTCTTTGTTCTCTAGACAAATGTTTCATCGTGTCTTTGACCATCCACCTGCTCCGATGGCTGATAAAGTCTGGATCAGGTTTAAACAAACGCGGGTCACCAGAGGACAGCGACCAAACCAACCGCACCAGCCAAAAGAGGTGAGCCAAATCACATTATTCAAAATCACAAACTTCAATCTAGAAATCTTTTTTAAAATCTCTTGTGGATGTGCAGCAAAGGTAAAGATTTTATTCTTATTTATTACGCTACAGTCTGAGTTTTTGTATGCATTATGTTAAAGATACAGATTTTATACTTGTTAATTTTTAATGCTTGTGTTAGAGATTTTTTTTAGTATTATTATTCTTTTATCTTGTGTTGTGTGCTCCTCATTCTGTTTTGTAGCTGCTGATGCAACACTGAAATTTCCCCATTGTGGGACAAATAAATAAGCTCCCATTCTTTTCACAAACCCAGTTTGTAGTTGGTTCGCTGGGGTTTAACAAAACAAAATAACAATTAACATCAAGCGTTTAAGTTTCATTTAAGGAAGATGGGCAGCACCACATTTAGCTCCATGCTACTTTCCATCTGTAGTCCTTGACAATACAATCATATAACATACATATTAACATACAATTCTAAAAAAAAGTTACTAAAACACATATTAAAATACAGTTCAGATAAAAAGTGCAAGTTACCAGTATACATTTTAAAATACAGTCCAATAAGATACAATAGCGAGTTAGAGTTAGCAGCCATATTTAAAGTCAGCCGCTTTTTTCAAACATGAATTTAAATAATTTTTGACACATCACCTTTAGTCGTGTCTTCGCCGTGTCTTTGCTGTGACTTTGCTGTGACTTTGCCATGACTTTGCGGCGGCAGCAGAGACCACACAAACCTCTCCTCGATCAGCATGGTGGAAATGAACTTGGGGAAACTCTAGAAAGCTTAAATATGATATTTCCTGCTTTTGCCAGCTGCTCTTGTCTTGGCCAGATCTGGGAGGTGATTAGTTACTGGGACGTGGAGAGGAATGCCGCACGGAGACCTGCAGCAGAGACCTCAGTGTCAAACATACTCTAATGTCCTTGTTAGAGCAGCCAGCCAACCATGAGCACCAAACCATCATTTCAGCCATAATGCACATATTATTTTCATATGAGGTGAAATATATGTGGAAAGGAAACCCCACAGGAATTTATCGACTTTTACTCATTTATGGATGATATTGGAATCAATGGAACAGGGGCAGAAGGAACAGACAAAAAAGTTATTTAACATCACGCTCCCAGACAAACTAAAAAAAGGCTTGTGGTTGGATTTTTTAAACATGTTTTTTAACATTTGTATTTTTATTTACAACAAGAACATTCACAAACACAGCCAGGTCCAGGACACAAAATGCATAAACAATCAACAAAAGAAAAAATGAAAATCACATCTATTAACTACAAATTGATAGATCTATGAACCACATAATCATTGTTCAATCTGAAGAGACCAAGACAGACACATTAATGCATGAAAAATATTTATTTGTTTGGCGCATTGACAAGAGGGGAGATCATTTGCTGCTGTAGATGATCTCAGATCCCCCGGAGTCAAGCACTGGTGGTGGCTAGAAGCATGGAATGAATGGGGCGTAGGCGGGGCAGGAGCAGGAGCCAGGGCAGGAGCCAGGGCAGGAGCCAGAGCAGGAGCCAGAGCAGGAGCCAGAGCGGGAGCCAGAGCAGGAACCAAAGCAGTAGCTATAGAGCAGTAGCTAGAGCAGGAGCCAGAGCATGAGCCAGAGCAGGAGCCAGAACAGGAGCCAGGGCAGGAGCCAGAGCAGGAGCCAGAGCAGGAGCCAGAGCAGGAGCCAGGGCAGTAGCCAGGGCAGGAGCCAAGGCAGGAGCCACAGCAGGAGCCAGAGCAGGAGCCAGAGCAGGAGCTTGAGGAGGTGCTGGGGAGGCAGTGGGTGTTAAGAGCTTCAGGAAGCGCTGTTTATCAGGAAGTGGCTGCTTTTAAACTGCCCGCTTTTCTGTCAGTGGGTTGGCGAGAGGCTGGCCGGGCTGTGTGATTGGCTGGCTCTGGACGGTTGAGAGGTGTGGCCGGTCTTTCAGTCTGAATTTGCGCTTCAGCTTTATATCTATTAACCACATACTGATGGATCTGTTAACCACATATTGCCTATTTTGAGCCCTGGAAAGCTCAAAATAGGCAATGTCCACAAATGTCATGGCCCATTGTCGACGAGACAGTGAGTGAGGGGGCTCCCACGTTGTAGCCATCATGTTTTTCGATGCTGTGAGCCCTGCCAGGAGAACCCTTTTCCTCTTGTTCAGTCCGAGCCGAGCTAAGTCATTTTTAGGAGCAGAGGAGCAGGCACCAGGAGCGACAGGAGGATGTGCCACCATCCACCCAAACTGAGAGACCCCTGGACACTCCCAGACCATGTGGACAAAGGGACCAGTAACTCCATCATGACACAAATGCAGGTAGGATTTGTCTTATGCTTTGAATATGGAGAGACACTTTTCAAACACATGCATCTGCTAGACCCGCCCCTACAGCTTCCTGATTGGACGCAGTGAATTCAAATCTAATAATTTACTAATTCAAATAGACAGCTAATGCTAATTCCAGGTATTTTTTATGAAATGCACTTAACTTAGATGACACCCGAGGTTTGTATGGTCTGAAATATGTGTTATTTGAAACACATGCTTAAGTACATATTTTTTACCCAATGTGTGTTAAATTAAATATATGTGAAGTTGTAGACATCACCTTTAAGTAAGTCCTACAAAGTTTAAAGCTATCCGTTAGTGGTCTGTGTTTGAAAACAAAAGAAACTCTTTTTAATTCTAGATTTAACTCTAGCCTAAATTCAGGATTAATTTAAATGTATTCATTATTTTTGCTTCACGCAGGGCTGTGTCTTGGCAGGGGTCTATACTAATCTTTTATTACTCCCTGGGTGCATGCTGTAACTCCTCCTCCAGATTTGGTACAAATGTTTGAAATATCTGAATGCTTTTTGAATTCCTGTAGTCTTACCTCACACTTGCCATTGTTCCGTCTTCCCATGGCCCTGCACAGTGCGTGGTGTACTGTAGGTGTGCAACGCTGCTCTGGGGATTTCCTCTCCCTCAAAGTTATTGCTGCGGAGGAGGAATACAGCCCATGTTTGAAGCTCAACACTTTGCACCGAACGCTCCGAGATCACAGTGAGCAGAGAGGGATGGAGGGAGGGGGAGGGGGTCTGTGGCCAGTGTGGAAAAAGAATACACCAGGGATGAAACAAGTCTTACTCTATTGCTATTCAATAATATATATGTGTTTTTACATCCTGAGAAGCATCAAGCTCATTTATTACATTCTTGCTGGTAACTTATGTCTCATGTTGGTAACTGTTTACTCTAACATATTACTTTTTAAAGCATTACAGAAAACAAATAGTGATATTGTAACACACATAAGGATACATAGCAAAGGAAGGTTTCTCACCCATCATCTGTACTTCTTAGCAAGTTTTCCCGACGTTTCGTCCTCAACCTGGGGACTTCTTCAGGGAATGAATTCTCGGACCGCGCGTTGGAGATTTATAACCTATGGGTGTGGTAAGCCACACCCTAACCCTGATACTAACTCGTAAACCTATTGTCTGCTGGGATGCTCAAGTGGAGTGCAGGTTTCACCCCTCCTAACTCATTAGCATGTCACTGACCTTGTCCCAAGTTAGGGCGTTGTTTTTAGGATGTCGTCATAGATGCGAGGCCTCGCATCTATGACGACATCCTAAAAACAACGCCCTAACTTGGGACAAGGTCAGTGACATGCTAATGAGTTAGGAGGGGTGAAACCTGCACTCCACTTGAGCATCCCAGCAGACAATAGGTCTGTGACATGCTAAGGAGTTAGGGTCGTTAGCCTCAGCAGGGTCGTTAGACCTGCTCCCTTCTACATCAAGCAGACCTGAGATTGTTTACGAGTTAGTATCAGGGTTAGGGTGTGGCTTACCACACCCATAGGTTATAAATCTCCAACGCGCGGTCCGAGAATTCATTCCCTGAAGAAGTCCCCAGGTTGAGGACGAAACGTCGGGAAAACTTGCTAAGAAGTACAGATGATGGGTGAGAAACCTTCCTTTGCTTTGACTAATCCCTGTACGACTGAGGGCTTACACAAACATAAGGATACATATTTACTCTTGTCAATATCAAATTTAGAGTAACTTTCCCTAATGCTGGTTATGACAAGCCAAGCTGCACAGGGATCAGTGTTAGGTGAAAAAGCTGTTTTGGAGTGGATGAAAGAGCGTGAGATTGATAGGCTGATCGGTGCAGCGTATGCAGTGATGCGGTTGCTGTGTCGGGCCGTTTGTTCCCTCCCTGACCTATGGTCATGAGCTTTGGGTAATGACCAAAGGACAAGACCTTGGACACAAGCGGTCAAAATGATCTTTTTCCGTAGGGTGTCTGGGCGCTCCCTCAGAGTTAGGGCGAGGAGCTCAGAGTAGAGCCGATGCTTCACCACATTGAGAGGAACCAGTTGAGGTGGCTCAGGCATCTGTCTCCTCCTGGACACCTGTTCCGGGTACGTCCCACTGGGAGGAGACCTCGGGGAAGACCCAGGACATGCTGGAGGGACTATGTCTCTCAGCTGGTCTGGGAACACCTTGGGGTCCCCCCGGATGAGCCGAAGGAAGTGTGCATGGATGGAGAAGTCTGGGCGTCTCTGCTTAGACTGCTGCCTCTGCAACCTGACAAAGGATAAAGCGGGAGTAAATGGATGGATGGACCTCAGTGAGAGATGTATTTGCCAGATGACTTTTGAACGGTAGTGTACTTGTTTTTAGACACTTAGCTGAAGTTGGTGATAATTAGTGGTATAAGTCACTGCACTTGGACTGTAAACTCACACTGCTACTTTGAATTAAATTGTACATAATATACTGTATCTTGCACAAAAGAGACTTTTCACTTTTTAACATGTTTGCACGTTTCTTTTTTGCACTATTCCTGTATAGTCCTGTGTTAGTACCAGAGTGATACTATTTATGCTACATGTATGTAACATGTACTTTTTTCCATTGTGAGATCAATTAAGTCTATTTTATCTTATCTTCTCCAGGTTTGGGAAGCTGGCAGGTTCTATGTGCAGCTATGTGTTATAAATTCTCAGTAATGGCCAACAGACATGGACTGTTTCACACTGGATTCTTGTCCCGTATCAGTTTTCCTTCTAAAGCCTTTTTCTCAGGTCCGGCCCCTCATTTTGTTATTCTACGAGGAGCTGCAGGTGTGAAAGGGTGAGGCCTGTGGAAAAACAGTAGATGTTTTTTCTTAAAGCTTGTCATGAAGGAATCCACCGAGTGACCTGCACACTGTGGCACACAATGACAAATGGGTTTGCAATTTTCCGCCTGACTTAGGAGCAACAAAGCCGGACATTTCCACTTTGGTGCTGCCTTCATCCTGGACCACTCTGCTCTACCTGCTCCGAACAACAAGTCCATAATCAATTCAGGGAGAGGAAATTAGTTTTTGGTCAAATCCTGGATTGGTTAAAAGGTCAAGGTGGGTTGCAGTGGCTGACTGTGTGAAAGCTGTAAATGAACCATGTTGCTAATTGTGGCACTTTTCTGAATAAGAGTCCGGGAACATGATATATTGCTTCCTCTAGATAATTCCACAGTGACATTGAAGTAACACTTTTAAACATGCAACCATTTCTATAATAATAATATCAAATCATCGAATCAATATTGTATGATTTGAAGGATATATGCTCAAATAATATCATCAATATTCTCAATATGTTCATGTCTGTGCAGCATTCACAACACTCACCACATATTGTCCAAACTACTGGTACTCTAGTGGTTATACAAATATATAATAAAAGGAATGGCAAGAAAAGTTTAGATTCAGTCTGTAAAATCATGTGTTTGTTTCCTCCCTGTCAATGTCTGGTGGTTTTATGTCACTTATCTCTTACCAAATGTACGTATTTGTATTTGCTCAATGCCACAATATGAAAGAAAATTATTGTTCAGATAAAAATCCAACAAAAGTCAACAAAAACTTCTAGAATCTTGTTTGGGGCTGATTTGTCCCAGGTGGAACGGGTGAACTTCATGAAATAGATGCAGATGAACAGTGTGCCGGGTCACGGGGGCAGCAGCCAAAGCAGAGACGCCCATAAGCTCGTCCAGGGGGTCCCCAAGGCGTTCCCAGGCCAGCTGAGAGACATAGTCCCTCCACGGTGTCCTGGGTCTCCCCCGGGGTCTCCTCCTGGTGGGATTTGCCTCAGAACAAAAGTAACATTTTTAAATCTTGGTGGTCAGTTTTGTTTGTTTGTTTATTATTGCGTTTTTTTCTTAATTTGGCAAAATATCTGTATCTGTGAATTTAAGCTAACCCAGGCCCTTTTTATTTTTATTATTATTATTATTACTATTATCATTATCATTATTATTATTATTTTATTATTATTATACTTTTTTGTTATTATTATTATCATTATTATTATTATTTTATTATTATTATTTTTATTATTGTTATTGCTGTTATTATGATCTATTTACTTTTTTTGTTTGGCACAATGGGTGGAAAGACAAAAGAAAGTGCGTAATGTGATACTTGAAAAAAAAAAAAAAAAAAAATACATCAACATGGGTTCTTGGGTGCTATACTAGGGCGTCTATTTCTTCTGACAGAGGCCCAAGTGGCATTGCAGAGGACTAACTAGCGCCAAAGTGATAAATAAAGTGCACAGGTACCTTAACCTTAGACATATTCCTTTACATAAGACATGATTTAGTCTCTTTTCCGACCATTCCCACATCCCCCATGTTTTCCTTTGCATCACACCTCTGTATCAAACACCACAGACACTACAGACCCATTGGCAGACCGTCACTCAAACTCTTTTAGTTAAACAAAACAGCGTCCGTCACCACTGCAGCCTCAAACACTTCCCCACTGTTTCGATCTGAACCAGACAAAACCGCGAGCCTCGGCTCCTCTTTTTGTTCCTAAACTCTAAACATCACTAACGTCTCCACGGCAACACAAACAGAGGCACATACTTTCCACGGCGGCTGACAGCTCGATGGGCACTGTCAGAGGATCAGGGAGGCCGCGCTAATTGCCGCCTACCGAAGAAATAAAGTAGAAATCCCATTCGCTTTGGCACGAACCGGGAGCTTGACAATGCGACAGGTGTGAAAAATGACTTCTAAATGTCCTAATGTGTTTGTGGGCAGAGTGGGCAGTGGTCTGAGCTCACAAAGTCAAATACCAGATTTGGAATAAGAATCTTTTAGTCTCGACTTTTGGTCAAAGGAACCCAGGGTGAATCGAGTTTAGCATAGAAAAAAAAACACATGCTAAAGTTGGAGTATTGATTCAGATTCATTTTATTTTCCAGCAAAAGTTCCCAGTGTGCACAAGACAAGTCCATACATAAAACAATGCTAAAAGTGCAGAAATAAAACCAACTATAAGTGCAGGAAAGAAATGCAACTGTGAAATCGATCAACCAAAACTGTTTGTTCCTTCTGTGTTTACAGAATATACTTACACATGCAAATATATAAACATAACTATACAATCAAGCAACAGTATTTGCCCTATAGTCTCACCATGTGTTGTACAGTATATCTACAATATCAATATGTATCTACAAATGAATTTATACCATGAAAGTATTGCTATCTCTTCTTGGCATGTAATTTCTTCTGTGGTATTTTCCAATGACCATTTTTGCTAACATTGTCAACAAAAACATTTATCTTCCAAGTGTAATTTGTGCTTGTTCTACACAGCCAGGGAAAAAAAAAAGAATACAAACATAGAAAAACAAATCTTAAAAAAACGTTTTCATCTTTTGGAGATTATGAATGCATTTGTTTTGTCACTCATTGTTAGTGGCTGTGTGGTTAATTGTCAAATAATTGTGTTTTCTATTAAAATGTGACAGTTGCGGCTGAGGTTCTGGATCCTCTCTGATGGTAAAGATGCCTATTCTTCTTGGCAAAAAGCTTCCAGTTCCTGTAAATTCCTTGGCTGCTTTGTATGACCTGCAGGTTTGAGATTTCCATAGAGCGCCTCAATGATGTCAAAACTTGAAAATATAAAACATGATTATTTAACATTATATTTGGCCTCACAAAATTAATATGAGTGAAAACATCTTTCAGAACATGGACAAAACGTTGACATTACTGCCTGGGTGTCTAAACTTTCAAACACATCTGTATATCTGAGTCGCTACTTTATGTTTAGATTAAGATTAGGATTAAGCGATTATTTTTATTCGTACCACAGAGGGGAAATTTCAGTGTTGCATCACCAGTTAAAGAACACTATAGAAGTGAGGATAACATAGCACAAGATATATGAACAAGAACAATTTACCAAAATAAAATAAAATCTCTTATTTTAGCATTTTAATGAAGTAAGTATACGATTTCTAGCTTTAGCGTAGTAAAAAAGAAAGTCTAATATCTAAAATATCCAACTTTAGCACAATGAAGAAGCAAGAGTAGGGTATAAAATCTCTCACTTTAGCATAATAAAGAGCAAGTAGAAAACACTTTATATTCTAGCGCAAAAAATATATTGTTCTGTGTATACATCTGTACATGTCGCCAGATGCAATAATAAATCTGACCTGTTGTTTTGTTTTTTCTCAGTTTTTATTGTTATTTTTTATAGCCAGTGATTAATCTTGCTCAAGAAAAAAAAAATATATATATATACGTTTGATTATACGGTATTAATTACAGCTTCTCTTCTCTCCAATCCCTAATCTGACATTTCTGCTGTCCACAGTCCTCGATCAAATCCCCAAAATATCAAGTGGATAACGCTATACTTACACTTCTGCCCTAATCCTTATAAACACATACGCAGCTCTTAATTTGTGCCCACAGCCGTCACTAAGGAGTCTACAAACAAGAAAGAGCCTCAAATCAACAGGTGCAGGATTCAAAGCTGCAGACGCCGTCCCTGGGCAAATACGCTCTGGTCCAACAGGTGAGCTCCGCCCTTTGGTTTTTTATAAATATACAAATTATACTGTGTGATGAGCAAGGACAGGGCGCTCATGTTCCCAGAGACACAATGACAGAGACGCAGAGCTGAAGGTTGTTCTGATTTTAAAATACACGATAATATTTTAAAATACACGATAATACACGATAATACACGATAATGCCACAATCACAACATTAGAAAGAATATTCCACTTTTTTTACAATTATAATGTTATTGGCTCTGCTGGCACACACCTAATATAAAAATATAGTGTTTTTGGGTAGCATATTTTGTAAACTTAGCCTGCGTCTTTTGGCCCAACAGACTTGACCTCCAGTTGCGTGTCAGACCTGGATTCAAATAGATGAGGCCAGTTTATTTGTGGAGCACAGTTCATACACAGGGGAACTCAAAGTCTTTCACAAATATCAGAGGAAGCATAAAAATCATAGTAAAATCATAAATAATCAATTCATTTTGACGTCTCAAACTTATAGGAAACGCAATAATAACAAAGACAGAGGTTGCGGATGATTGATGTCCGCAAATGTAAATCAATGTCTATAGAAATTCACACAAGCAATGTTTAAAATAGATAATCATTTACAGAACAGATACACGTTTGTCTTGATTACCTTAAACGTCAGAGAAGCTTGTGTCACATTTTCTAGAAGACTGCTCCAAATCTTAGCTACATGTGTTGTTATGATTTCTTGCTGGTGAAGACGGCTCTAACGATGGGAGACGCTCTGACATTTATCCATTTCAATTTGGAGAGACGTGAAACAAGAAAGCTTTTGAGTATTTTAATGAGAGGTGGTTTGGCGCCCTAGGCCCCGGTGCGGCCTTCAGTTAGGGGAGGCTCCTGCGCTGGGGCGCGTAGAATCCCCCCGGGGCCTAGGTACTGGTGGCGGCATCTTGGCAGCGTGAAGCAGGTTTGAAGGCAGGTTGGAGGCAGGGTGAAGAGGAGGAGGAGGGGAGGCGGTGGATGCGAGGCTTCGGGAGGCCGTAAAATGGGAGTTGCTCCGCTTTTAAGCGGCTGGTCTGTCCGGCACGGTGTGATTGGAAGGGGGCGTTTGCTGCGCCATAGGCTGAGGATGTGAGTCGGCCCGGAGGGGGTAGCTTGGGCTGACGTCTTCTAAATTGAATTTTCGCGAGCTACATTTCAATTTGGAGAGACGTGAAACAAGAAAGCTTTTGAGTATTTTAATGAGAGGTGGTTTGGCGCCCTAGGCCCCGGTGCGGCCTTCAGTTAGGGGAGGCTCCTGCGCTGGGGCGCGTAGAATCCCCAAAAAGGCTGTGAGTTGATGGGGTTTTGCAGCCTGGTTTGCAGGGGACAGACGTCGTGGCTGCTCTATGCTGTGACCACTATCGCTATGCTGTGACCGCTATCGCTATGCTGTGACCGCTATCGCTATGCTGTGACCGCTATCGCTATGCTGTGACCGCTATCGCTATGCTGTGACCGCTATCGCTATGCTGTGACCGCTATCGCTATGCTGTGACCGCTATCGCTATGCTGTGACCGCTATCTCTATGCTGTGACCGCTATCGCTATGCTGTGACCGCTATCGCTATGCTGTGACCGCTATCGCTATGCTGTGACCGCTATCTCTATGCTGTGAACCGTTTATGCGCTAACCATTTTTTGCTATGCTGTGACCGCTAACACTAACGCTGTGACCGCTACCACTAACGCTATGACCGCTATCACTGACGCTATGACCGCTATCACTGACGCTATGACCGCTATCACTGACGCTATGACCGCTATCACTAAGCTATGACCGCTATCTGTTGTGACCGTTATATGCTGTGATCGTTATGCGGATACTCAGCTGCTGCCGCCACCAGGAGTTTTGCGAGTGATTTATGGAGATGCCAAGAGGCGCTGGGCTGCGAGGATAGTCGGAGTGTCAGGCCTGATGTATGAGGAGAGGGCCGATGATGACCAGCGGCCCAACTGCTGAAGGGCAGAATGGGGGAGACCCAGGGACGCGGCACGCGTGGCGGCGCCTATTCTGAAGGAGTGGGCTGTGTAGAGATAGGGAGACAGGTTACAAAGCAGCAGTACAGACTTGAGTTGGGCTCTGACCCAGTTGGAGGGCATCGGGAGGTTATCGAGAGTGAGAATGACGGTCCGTTGAGATCTCCTTTCCGTGAGCGGAGGCGAGTGTAGTGCATCATGGATCAAGCGAGACTGTATGATTTCAGAGTGGAAGGTGAGAGGCCCATCTTCATGTAGGATGCCGCGGAGGAGATGAGGAGGCGAAGAGACGGAGGGATTAGTCCGGGGCGAGGGATTCCATGCAGGGGATCTGGCATGGCGATGGGTTGGCAGAAGGGCAGCGGCGTCGGAACTCCTGGAATTTGAAACGAGAGAGAGAATCAGCGAGACAATTAAGGTGACCAGGGACGCGACGAGCAGTGATATAAAATTGTTCAGGACTGAGAGCCATGTGATACGTCTAAGAAAAGACATGATTTGGGGAGAGGATGAACCTCGACAACGTCGAGGTTGTCGCACGTCACGGAAATCCTTTTCCTCTGCCACATATGGCTCCACAGCGCGCAGGCTACGGTCACGGGATATATCTCGTGGAGCGCGGAGGAGATGTTTTGAGGGAAGGCGTCGGGCCAGGGCCCGGCGAACCACTGGTCCTGAAAGAATCCCCCAAAACCCACGGACGGGGCTGCGTCCGTGAAGAACCGCAGGGCGTCCGAGGATAGGACGACGTTGCTGTAGAAAAAGGGAGACGCCATTCCAACGGCTCAGCAGGCGGGACCAGAACGCCAGGTCGGAGCGGCACCCCGCGGCCAGGCAGACCGCGTCGTTGAGGGAGGAGACGGAGCCGGCGAGGGAGAGGAGTCTGGAGATGAAGGAGCGACCTTGAGGAATTATGCGGATGGCGTAATCAAGACGCCCGAGAAGGGAGAGCAACTGACGCTTCGAAAGTGACAGGGATGACGGGGCAGACCGGGAGATAGCGCGGATGCGCTCGAGTTTGCCCAGCGGGAGGGAGGCCTCCGTGGCGCGCGTGTCGAGGCGGATGCCGAGAAACTCTAGAGCTGTGGCGGGCCTGTGGTCTTCTCCTCGGAGAGGGGGACTCCCAGGGCGTAGAAAGCGAGCTTGAGGTTGCGGAGAGAGCTCCCGGAGCCGTCCGAGGGTGGGTCTACCACGAGAAAGTCGTCGAGGAGATGCAGGACGGAGGGGAGCCGTACATAATTTAGCAGGATCCAGCACGGCGCCTCCGCAAGAGAGGGGCGCTGGAGGGAAGGGGCTGTTGATGCTCGGGCGGGCCCGGAGCGGGGACAGGAGAGGACGAATATGAGACGCTTCTTCCTGGAGTGCTTGCGGGTGGCGATGCCCGTCGGGTTAGAGCGAGACGGAGAGAAGGGGCCAATGACGTAGCACACGGACACCTCCCGCGCCCGAGCCGCGTGCCGACTTGGGCTCACGGAGAGCCGGGAAGAGGTTGCGGGACACGAGACGCCGAGGGACCTAAACAGAGCTTGCAGTCCAATGTGAGGAATTTAATAGAGTTTGCAGTCCAGAGTGAGGTATTAAAACCGGGCCCGTAGTCCAAGTGAGGCGTTTAACTGAGAGCCTGCAGTCCGGTGTGAGGGAGTTAAATGACCTGTAGTCCAAGGTGAAGGATTAAACTGAGAGCTTGTAGTCCAGAGAGAGGGATTCAACGTTGCCCGCAGTCCTAAAGAGGGATTTATAACAGAGAGCTTGTAGTCCAATGAGGGATTAAGCCGAGAGCTGCAGTCCGGTGTGAGGGATTTAACAGTTTTACGGTCCAAGTGAGGGATTAACTGAGCCCGCAGTCCAAGTGAGGAGTTTAAACTGAGAGATTACAGTCCAGTGAGAGGGATCCAACAGGCCTGCAGTTTTATTTATTTATTTATTTATTTATATTTATTTATATTTATTTATGTTTATTTATATTTATTTATAGTTATTTATAATTATTTATAGTTATTTATAATTTTATATTTATTTATAATTATTTATATGAATTTATTTATCATTTATTTTTTTTTTTTTTATATATAGCGTTCCAGATATAGGCAGTACCATGTATGCAGTTCCATGTATAACCGTACCATATGAGCAGTTCCAATATAGCGGTTCCATATATAGGCAGTTCCATATATAGGCAGTTCCAGATACGGTACAACAGTTCCAGGTATAAGTAGTTCCAGATATAATTTAAACAGCGCTTGCAGTCCAAAGAGAGGGATTTAAACAGAGCCTGCAGGCCAAAGTGAGGGATTAAAACAGAGCATGCGGTCCAATATGAGGGATTTAAACAGCGCTTGCAGTCCAGAGAGGGATTTAAACAGAGCCCGCAGGCCAAAGTGAGGGATTAAAACTGAGAGCATGCGGTCCAATGAGAGCGATTAAAACTGAGGTCTTGCATTCCAATGTGAGGGATTAAACGGGGCTTGCAGTCAGAGTGAAGATTTAACGGAGCTTGATTAAAGAGGGCCTGCAGACTAATGCGAGGGCTTTAAACTGAAGCCTGCCCGCCAGCACTGGGCCAACTGAGCCTGCAGTACAAAGCGAGGGGAAAAACCGTCCGCGGATCTCATACTTTACCCACAGCGCCAGAAGACAAGGGACAACACGACGGGACCACGCCGTACCGGCACAAGGAGACAGGGATGCGCACGGCTCCCACCGCAACGGGCTAGACCGGCCGTATGCAGCAGCAGGCTGCGACGAGACGAGCAGCGGCAAACCCGCGGAAAGAGCCCGCAAAGAGGAGAGCGGCAAAGACCCACGGACCACAGCACGAGACCCGCAGCAGGTGCAGCCACAGGAGGAGCAGACCACACGCAGCAAGACAGAGGACAGCAGGGACACGCACGAGTAAGCGTGAGTAGACAAAGCGATTCCT